AAGAAGAAGAAGAAGAAGAAGAAGAAGAAGAAGAAGAAGAAGAAGAAACAACTAGCTAAATTTCCTTAGAACTATTTCCCCCTTTCCCACCTCCCCAAAAGTCCTCTCCATGATGGAGGGTTTGAGTTATTCAAACTAAAGCCATCCCACAGCTGTTCCTGCCCATGTAGAACTCTTTAGGGATCGATGTGAATGACATTCCCATCAGGCCAGTTGGATCAATGACTTCCCTGGTCCTCATTTCCTGCTGTGCTTCTGCTGCACAAACCAGACAGCATTCATTCTTCAAAGCTCTGGTTCTCCACATGCTACATTTTGGACCAGAGCCTTTGTCAGTACATGGCAACCAATTGAGATAACACGGAGGCCAGAATAGCACAGGCTGCTCCAAGCACAAGGTACTGCTAAGCTCCCCAAATGCTGTAAAACAGGTCAGATTAGGATAACGCAAACACACACCAATGATGTTAACCAGTCATTGCTTTGGCCACCTGCCAGGTGACACCTAGTTTATTTCTGCCTTTAAAAAGTGCTCTGCCAGTTTTGGAACTGCTTCTCTTTTGCAGTAATTGAAGTAGTATAAAGCAACATTCTTCTTGTTGATACAGACGTGATCTGTATTGTTTTCAATCTTTGAAACACATGGTTCATATCAAGAGTGTAGCTGTGGTTGAGGGGGGGTGGGGTGGGGGATTTTGAGGAAGAGATTGCAAAGTTTATTCAGCTTATACAGATCTGAGTATTCTCTTCAGAGTTCCAACTTGCAGAGCTTTAGCCATTTTTTTCTCACTCAGCAGAAAGTGTCCATCCTGTGCCAAATGGGATAGTTTCACACTTAAGCATCCAAATAGGACACTCTTTAAAGCAGCGCTCCTTAGCCTTGGCAACTCTTAAGATGTATAGACTTCGACTCCCAAAATTCCCCAGCCAAGCATGATGACTGTGGAATTCTGGGAGTTGAAATCTACACTTAAAGTTGCCAAGGTTGAGAAGCACTGCTTTAAAGTAACCAAAATTCTAAAGTCTTTCAGCGTGAGGTTTAGGTTCTTCTGGTAGATTTGCCACATTTAATTATCCTTTGTCTATGGGGAGGTAAGACCCCCACATACCTATCTATGTAGAATGAAAATAAACATTTTTAATCTCCATGCTTACCCATGTTCCCTTCCATGCACTGATTACTGAAGAATGAATATTTAAAACGGAAGTCACTATGTGGGGGAGGATCTGCATCCAAAGCTTTTATGACTCACACAAGGCCTGGTGGTTTAATTTATGCACCTCTGATGTTACTTAAGGAGACTTGGAGGACAAATGTAAATTAGTGATATTCAGATGTTGCAGATAACAGATGCAAGCTGATCTTTCTTCTCCGAGTGCCAAAGGAGGAATAGAAGAGGTGTTATTATGCACAATCAGCGCACCCTCACCTCTAGAGCAGAGTTAGTATTATTAGTAGTTAGTACTATTTAAATAAATAGTATAGTCTTTCCTGAACATGGTGAATCTCCAAATGTAATTCAACACATCTGCATGCTATCAGATTGGGAAAAGCTGCAAGCTACATGCATTCAGATCACGTACAATTAAAAACAACACATACTTAAGTATCCAAAGGAGAATGTATAAATTCTATTGCCTGGGGTAAATCATCTTACTATTATCACTGTCCAGCTTTCTACATTTCTAATAATTGAAATGTACATTTCTAATAATAGAATCTGTGTAATGTTTCTAATAACTGAATAACGTCAATGTAATAGAAATGTCCCAAAGCCACCCAATTCTATACTTGGAATATATTACCTGTTCATAAACACAATTCTAACCAAAAGTCCAGTGATATATGGAACATAAACATGGTATGGTTCCTATTCAGAGGATCTCCAATTGATAATGCAGTTAATACCTAGCTTAGGTGACCAGAGGAGACAAATCTCCATGGGTCTAACTAATACCTATTGAATCAATGGAAAAGTCAGGAAGGTCATTCCAGAACTGCAGGACAGTAATAAAAAATCTTTTTTATGTCTGAGATGCCATGCAACGGCTTATCTAAAAGACTATTCTCTGTATGTCTGAATTGAATTTTCCAGTTAAAAAACCCTCAAACCAGAACTATGTACTGTCAACGGGCAGCCTATTTATCAGGTCATAAATTTGGTCTCTGTGTCACACATTTGCACACGCACTGGGGAGGGAGGGAGGGAGAAGAACAGAAAGGAGAGAGAACATGCTCATACCATATAGTGCTCTTGACTAGATCCACTCCCATGGTTTTGTGGCAGAAAGGCATACCCATATTTATTGGTGAAGCTGATTTCCTCTTTGGGCTGTGAGCAGAACACTTTCTTATTCTGAATTCAAAATCTCCTCTCCCTATCATTTAAAAGCACTGCTCAGAACAAGGTATGGCAGAAAAACTAGTTGTGCTTTTAGAACAGGATAAAAATCAAGATTGTGTGTTTTTTTAGAAACAGCCATTCGCCACCACGTTTATCAGAAGTAAGCAGAATTTTTAAGCTAGCATACTCTGGGGAGAAGAAAAAGGTTTAAAACGAGCCCTGTGGACCAGATCAAAAGCTCAGCAGAATTCCATTTCTTCAGCAGCCACAGTTCTTGGCATTTGCAAAAGTCCATAAAGAGGGGCTGAAGGTGAGACCCCCCACCCACCATTGTGGTTCTGTGGCAGGTATTCACAGCCTCATTGCCTCTGAAGCTGGAGGAAGATAAGAGAAAGGCACTAGCCAGTTTTGGCCTCCCTCTGGCCTTCAGCCATTCCAAACCACCACCCCATCGGCAAAGTTTTTGTTGCTTAAAACTCAGCCTCTTTCCTGGATCTCTAGCAGCCTAAAAATATATTTTACCTTTTGCCTCTGTCATATTACACAGTCTGTTGAATTGCCTCAAGGATTGGGATATTAGGGGAGTCAATAACAACTTATTAGAAATAGCCTATAGGTCAAAACCACAGGCAGATCAATCTATCAATAGAACAAATAACATGCTAAATAAAAGAAAGGAAATGTACCGTGTCTTCCAGTCTAAACCCAAACTAATCAACTCTAGCTGCTGTGGACAATGTGACAACAGCTTTCAGTCACTGGCTCCACCTGGAACTTGAAATGTGGCAAAAGAACAGCGAGCGCAAAGCAAATCTTGCACAGACAAATACATAAGCATGCAAACCAACCAGTAGATTAAAGCAAACCACACTCCTTCCTTTTAATGAGGGAGCACACCTGAGGAGTGGTTGCTAGCCTGGCAGAGCAAGGCTCCTTCATGGCTAACAGTGATTCTAAGATATGCTGGGGAAGACTACAGATGGCTCTGTAGGCTACATGAAGCATTCCCATGGTTGACAGCTACACAAACACACCTACTCTCAGACCTGTGGAGAGAAAGGCTTTTGCAAACAGTGTAATTAAAAGGACACAAGCTACAAAAAGGGCCAAGCATGGAAATAGAACAGATAGCCTTGGATCTCGTGGAGCACGTGGGAATCAGGGGGAAGAGATAGAATCTCAATCCATAATTCATAACTTTCCCTCCTTGGAACCTCTCTTCTCATTAATTAACTGGTTATAATTCACACAAGAGACACAGATGTAAAGTTCCAAATGTTCATCTGAAAATGCTACTTGTCTTCCTAAATTTGATGCATCTGAGAAAAGATGCAGCTGCTGGGTATCCTCATGCCACTGCTCCGTTCTTTCCTACCTGGTTTGGCTGTTCCCCTCCCTCTAGTTTCTTTATCTGCATTTTTGAATAGGAGGCTTCTTTCTTTTAGACTGGGCTAGATATAACATTAAAACATGCTGCATTTTCATTGAATGGGCAAAAGGAGCATCACTGCCCTATGTCTGGCAAGTATGTGATCACATACCTAAATCATAAAAATGACACCCCAATAATTTTCCAACATGTATAGCAGGCACCAAAGAGGGTAAAGGAGGTGAGAGCTGAATAAAGATCAGGCTGGAGACACTGGGAAAAGATCTTCCATTCTTCCTTCCTGCAGCAGCTCCTTACATGGTTATCACCAGGAAGATTTAGACCAGTAGTAGTCGACCTGGTCCCTACTGCCCACTGGTGGGCGTTCCAGCTTTCATGGTGGGCGGTAGGGGCTTTGTCCCCTACTTTATAAATCACCATTACTGTGGAACCGGTGGGTGGTTAGAAAATTTTACTACTAACAGAGATACAAAAGTGGGCAGTAGGTATAAAAAGGTTGACTACCCCTGATTTAGACCAATCTTTTTCAGAGTTGGCAACTTTAAGATGTGTGGACTTCAGCTGAATTCTAAATTCTGTGAATTGAAGTCCACACAAGTTAAAAGTTGCTAACTTTGAAAAAGTTGATTGATATAGACCAACCACTATTCTTTTAGTTATGCCTCCCTTCCGCGCCCCACCCCCCCACACTTTTAACACTTTTGTGTTCTGATTTTAGTTCTAATTCCTAAGTCATCTCAAGCAAACCATGTGTACTCCACTCTCTGGAGATCGTGACCTAAAGCAGAGTTGTAAGTTCTCTGGCTCAGCAATTGGGAGAGCAAAACATGCCTCAGATTTACCCTAGGCTGGTTCAGCGAAGCAGCAAACTTTTTCCTGGAGACTGTCATTCTCAGAATTGTAGTATCCCAATACGCCGTTCTGAGCAGAATTCTGAATTGCAAGAATGGTGGCTGACAGTCAGTCACAAAGAGAACCAGAGTGGCCTTAATCCTAGCAAATATTCATTCTCCCCCAACCTGA